GCACTCGACACGCACGATCTCCGCAGAGGGTTGCGCGCACACCCGGCGAATCGCACTCTCGCCTGCATTTCGCGCACTCGACACGCACGATCTCCGCAGAGGGTTGCGCGCACACCGGACAAATCGCACTCTCGCCTGCATTTCGCGCACTCGACACGCACGATCTCCGCAGAGGGTTGCACTTTCGGTTGACGCTGTTCGTCCCGCACTCCGCCTTTAAGAGAGAATTTACAAAGTGGGGAAATGTTTTTTCATTAGGACATCTCCCGTGCTAGTTTTCCATACTCACACTTGCCTACTCATTGCATGCTTGTATACTCATTGCGTGCTTGCATACTCACCCTTGCATATCATGCTTGCATACTTACACTTGCATACTTTGACACTGGCATACTTCGCACTTGGATGCTTTCGCTCTTCCAGTGTGTGTGTGTGTAAGTGTAAGTGTCGAAGTGTAAGTGTTCAAAGGATTTTCCGGAAGAACCCTTCGCAATGCTTTCGGGAATAAAAAACAACACAAATAAAGAAAGAATGAACGAACGAAAGAACGAAAGAAAGAAGGATAGACAGACAGACAGACAGACAGAAAGAAAGAAAGACAGAAAGAAAGAAAAGGTCTAAGTCGAAAGGCAATGGTGATCTGGAAAACCCAGTAGATGGCAAAAAAGCCGCTCTCACTGCTTTCCTTGCTGCGCTCAGGCAGACGGCACTGGCCGATGAGCAGACTCAAGCGCTGCAAGATGAGAGGACGGAATTGAAAAGCAGGAATGAGAGAACTGACAAACGTTCTTTTATATTGGAGGGCCGTTTAATTTTGTTTTTTCTTCCTTTTTTGGATTTCTTTTTGTTTTTCGTGGCTTCTGGCTTCTGGCTTCTGTGGCTTCTGGCTTTTGTGGCTTTTGGCTTCTGTGGCTTCTGGCTTTTGTGGCTTTTGGCTTTCGTGGCTTCTGTGGCTTTTGGCTTTTGTGGCTTTTGTGGCTTTTGGCTTTTTGGCCTATCCATCTATTTGTCTGTATCTATCTGTCTATATCTATCTATCTATCTATCTTTCTTTCTTTCTTCCTTTCTTTTTGGCAGCTGTTCTCCGTTCTCTTTTTGCATTTGCTTTTCCTGTTGTTTTCGTTGCAGAGACGAAACCAAACAAGGAAGCAAGCAAGCAAGCAAGCACGAGCTGCTCACCTTTGGATCTGGTGTGCTGCTGGGGGGGGGCGCTGCGCCCCCCCCCAACCCCCCCGCGCCACGAAATCTGCACTTCATCCCCGACACCCGCGCCTGCCACGAAATCAATATTTTAAGGTGAACTCCCCGGTGCAAAACTTTCTAACCAAGCAAATATGCCTCCTCTATCTATCTATCTATCCATCCATCCATCCATCCATTTATCTTTCTATCTTTCTATCTTTCTATCTATCTGCAGCTCAACATCCAAAGTACTGCGCCTGCCACGAAATCTGCACTTCAAGGCCACAAAGTCTTGCGCCTGCCACGAAATCTGCACTCCAAGGCCCACAAAGTCCTGCACCTGCCACCAACTCTACACTTCCACATCCACAAAGTCCTGCATCTGCCACGAAATCTGCACTTCAAGGTCCACAAAGCCTGCGCCTGCCACGAAATCTGCACTCCAAGGGCCACAAAGTACTACACCTGCCACGAAATCTGCACTTCAAGGCCCACAAAAAGTCCTGCGCCTGCCACCAAATCTGCACTCCAAGGCCTACAAAGTCCTGCCAACTCTGCACTTCCACATCCACAAAGTCCTGCACCTGCCACGAAATGTGCTTTGCAAGGTCCACAAAGTACTGCACCTGCCACGAAGCACGAAAAACAAAAAAAATCCAAAATTAAGTCGCGGCCCTTTTATATTAAAGCAAAGCGGGAAGGTCACGAGTTAGACGCTCAGTCAATGGTTCGTGCAGGCCTGGTGCGCTCGAAGACAGCCGTGCCGAAGAACAGGACAGCTTTCCTCCAGAAGACCAGGACAGCTTCGCTGAAGCTCACCATGATGTTACATACGACACCTTCGCCACAGAGCAAACACAGAACTTGGGCACGCCGGGACCACAGTGGGGGATCTCTTCAGGTTCTTACCCACACTGTGATTTTTTGTTGAGGTCACAAGCCAGCTGGAACTCCTATGGAGATGTGCCACAAGGTGGAACTTCCTAGAAAGTAAATGCTGACTGAAACATGTTCAATTCATGCTTTGTTGGGAGTGATTTTGATAGACACATTGAGTTGACATGAAATCATGAGTGATTCAATTTGTCGCTTTGCCGGAAGCGGTGCCCAGGAGCTGGTGCGTGGCACCAGAGCCAAAGACCAGCGAAACAGGCAGAGCGTGGCAATCCAGCAAAGCCAAGTTTTTGCTCTTCCCAGAAATAGTCAGACGATATGTTACTAGTAGTTTCTTGTTCCTAGTAGCGATGGCCTCCACCTAGTAGCTTCTTGCTACTAGTAGACTATATGACCTACAGTGATCGACATCACACATGATCTATCTGCAGGAAAGAAAGCGGACTTCGTTAGCAGCCTCAGCGCATAATGCCAAGGCGCAATGGAGTGCATCTCTCAAAAAGGACTGTTCCAGACTTTCAGATCCAACTTTTGCTTGCTCCAGGGCAAGTCTCAAATCCCACCACCTGGCCCGCGTGCGGTTTGGGGGGGAGCTGCTGGCCCCGGTGCCAGCACTGAGAAGAGTGCCGTGGGCGAGAAGAGCCATTCGGCACAGGCGAAGGGCCAAGCTTTGCCGTGAGGCAAAGAACAGATACTTCCCATGGAAAACGTTGAAGGGTCTGACTCACTTACTAACATGTCTTCGCAGCCAAAGTGCTGATGAGTCATATGCTTTTCGTGCAGCTGAGGTGGCACCTGCTCCGGATGCCAGCTGGCCCCCAAGTTTGCTCAGTCGTTCTTGTGGGGCAGCAGCGGCTGATCGGTAGCACTGGAATTTCAGGTCCGTCTGAGGAGCAGTGACCCGCAATTTCAAATAATTTCAATATGTCTTTCCATATGCGAGATGGTCGAAGTTGTGAAGATCATTGACACGTTGTGATGAGGCCAGAGTTGACCTTATGACAAACTGCAATTCACAAGTCCTCCTCCTATTATGACTTGTGCAATCCCTGTTTTTTTTGTTTTAGCAAAAGCACTCCGCAAATGCTGTGAATCATCTCGCTTGGAATGTCAGCTTTGGTCGTCCCAAAGTGAAGCTTTGGTGGCTCCAGTGAAGCACTGCATGAAGTCAAAGACTTCTGTGCAGCTTCAATCCGCACAATGCACGAGAGCAGTCTAGTTTGCATCACTTCAACTCTCAAAATATGCAGAAATGGCTTCGACGCACATGCCTTGCAGCAGTGAGCCTCCTTGAATGTTTGCATCTTGATTGCAGTGGGTTCATTCAGGAATCTGACCTGCAAGTGGAAGAGAAGCTTGCATTTCTATGCATTTCTGGCCTTTAAGTCAACCACAGAGCAGTTGGTACTTGTAGCTTGGTGGGCTCGGTTCTGATAAGGCAGAAGCTTTTGATGACAAGATGCTTAGCCTGCTGGGAGTGATTCAAACCCACAATTTTCACTTCAGGTGATTCAAGACAACCCTTCGCTGTCCCATGTGGAAGTTTTAAGCAGCATGGGAATCAATGGGCGCGGCCCTTCTGAGGGAGGAGACCGAAGCCAAGCCCGTTCGGAGTTTCTTGGATCTACAAGACCTCCAGAAGTCGTATCAAGCAGAACACAAACAAGATCTTGAGTCTTGAATGTGAATTAATCAATTTGCCAAAATGAGCATCAGGTGCGTCACAGCATGGCAATATGGTTCAATATGACTCAAAGCCTGACCCCGGACACACCGGAAACCGGACCTCCGCTGAGGCCGTCGCAGTTTGCCGTCCCTACCCGAAGCTGCTCTGGTGCCGGCTCCGTCCGGCTTGGCGCCTTTGGCTGCCTACTTCAGCTGCTCTTACCTGAAAGGCGAAGCGTTCGGAGGTGCGGATCCAAGGCTTAGAGGAGTGATTCGATGTGAGATCATCCATACGAAAACTGGAAGCAGGCAAATGCATTCGTATTGCCTTTGAATTTCATACAACTTCAGATTCATGCAAATGAGAGCTGGACTCTAAGATGGTTCCTATGTGACAATCCTCGAAGAGGTATGTCAGCACTCAGTCGACACTTGACTGTTTCTTGTGAAGAGGCCTCTCGTGGTGGGAGGATCAAGCCACATTGTAATTTACACGCTGAGCGAATCCGTTCCTGTGTTTGGCAAAACTTGCATGCAGCTCTGAGCAGACCTGAGGAACGTTTTGTTGAATTCTTCGATCACCAGCCCAGCCATACCCGGGTCTGGTCAGAGGTGTTTAGCACCTGTTTGCTGGTCGACGTCAAAGAGTTTGCTGTGGAGGTGTTGGACTTGCGGCTCGCGCAACCGAACATGGCTGCTATGGTGCTTTTTCACTACACCACCAGGCCCCGCAGAAATCTTTCGTCCCGCCCGAGCTGCCTTTTTCAGATCAGTTCAGAGCGCCAGACCATTTGGACGTCAGGGATGGACTTTGGAGCCTCTTGGACTATCAGCAGCCCATCGGCGAGGCCACGGTCTCGTTGGTGGACTCCTTAGCGACTGTTTTTTCAGTTGCAAGGCGATGAAGGCTTTGGCAGAAAAGGCTGCCTTGGCTACAAGGCATTAATGGGAAAACATGGGAAAGCTGGCCGCACTAAAGATCCCTTCCGTGAAGTTGCACACAGGGAGCCCAGCCAGCTTGCTGCAGTCGATCCAAGGCTAGACCGGTCTTGTTGTTTTCGTTGTGCACCCTCCTTCTACATCCAGCCAAACAACGTTCCCTCTTCCTGAGGCTCAGGTACTGCTTGCCGCTTCTTGTTCCACAAAGTTGTTGCAAAGGCAGGCACGCAGCTTGCTGATGCTTGCTGCTTTGCAAAAGGTGAGACATGAAGACATGATTGGTGCTGGATCGATTCTGCATCTTGAGCCGATCTCGAGGTCCTGTTGACAGATCACCGAACGACAGCCTGGCTCCTGGGGCTTCACGCTACCACTGGTGGCTGTTTGTTTGAAAGTACAACTATCTCTCATTTCAAGTCAGTGACGCGCATCTTTGTAGAAGCAAGCTAAGCACATTTTCTGCTGCCGTTGCCTTGTGGTGCCCTTTGCAGTGCTGATCACCTTCGGCGACAAAGAGCTACAGTGTGCCAACATGCGACTGGCTCAGTTTATTCAATAATCACTTGCTATTCGGCTATTCGTTGCCTTTTCCCCAGCAGGTCCACTGGTGCCGGAGTCCCCGTGGAAATCCGTCGGAAGAGTCGACTCAGAGTCTCCGGCGCCTTTCACTCCCACTAAAGTAGTCTACGCTCTATTTGATTTGTTTGTCCAACACCAGTATTCGCTGGTGAAGGAGATAGCACCCCCCACAAAAACGAGATACTTTTTGATGACACTAAAGTAGTCTAAACGAGATACTGTGACATGACCTCCTACTAAAGTAGTCTGAATGAGATAGGGCCCCCACATAATAGATAGTACAAATAAATCCCGCCGCTCAGACAGGACAATGTGAGGTGTGCCCTGCCCACGTTTTCCACTTGACGAGGCATGGTTGGACCTGCTTGCGGCCAAAGCGGCTGGACAGGTAGGGATCAAAAAGGGCACTCAGATGGTGAAATGATCCATTGGCATTTGTCATTGTTGTTTCATATATATATATATTACGAAAGCCAGCCTTCGTAGAAGGCGCTAGCGGAGTTGTGTCTGGCGAACGAAGTGAGTAGTTAGGGGGTCTGGGGGGGTGGCCCGAGAAAGGTATACGTCAACTCGGCACATGCTGGGGGAGGAGGGTGCTTCGAGGGAAGGTTTTTTGAGGTTGTGTTGGAGGTGATTTTTGAGGGGTGGTGATGCAAGAAATGCCAAATGCATCATTTGCATCATCTGAATGGAAAGGTGTAGTTGGCACCTTGCAAGGTATAGAGACCTAGGGTAGCTATAGTGCAGCTACCAGGTATAGTACTTCAAGTTCCCTTTCCGTCAACCGCTTGAGAACCTCTACACACGCACAGCAATCCACAGCTTTGAAGTCTCATTCGTGCTTTGAACTTGTATAGGTGTGTAAGAGGTATAGCAACATACTATATATACGGACCCAGGGTAGCTACAAGTAGCTACAGTTCTGTTCCCGGGTATGGCGCGCATGAGGCTTTAAAGCTGTGGCTTTCAAGCTAAATTCAAGGTGGCCTGAGACCAGGGTTTGCTGCCCTAAAACACTCTGTTCAGGCCACCTTGAAAATAAAGGTGTAGTTGGCACCTTGCCAGGTATAGACACCCAGGGTAGCTATGTAGCTGTGGTTTTCAAGCTAAATTCAAGGTGGCCTGAGACCACGGTTTGCTGCCCTAAAACACTCTGTTCAGGCCACCTTGAAAATAAAGGTCTTGTAGCTACAATTCTGTTCCCAGGTATGGCGCGCATGAGGCTTCAAAGCTGTGGTTTTGAAGCTAAATTCAAGGTGGCCTGAGACCAGGGTTTGCTGCCCTAAAACACTCTGTGCAGGCCGCCTTGAAAATAAAGGTGTAGTTGGCACCTTGCCAGGTATAGAGACCCAGGGTAGCTATGTAGCTGTGGCTTTCAAGCTAAATTCAAGGTGGCCTGAGACCACGGTTTACTGCCCTGAAACACTCTGTTCAGGCCACCTTGAAAATAAAGGTGTAGTTGGCACCTTGCTTGCAGCTACCAGGTATAGTACTTCAAGTTCCCTTTCCGTCAACCGCTCGATAGCCTCTACACACGCACAGCAATCCACAGCTTTGAAGTCTCATTCGTGCTTTGAACTTGTGTAGGTGTGTAAGAGGTCTCACGGCCGCCTCCACCTGGCAAGTGCCAAGCGGAGCTGCCGTAGAGAAATGAAAGAAAATGGAGTGGGATGGTGGATCTAGGGTGCAGACCTACCTTTCTATCCTATGCTTCGACGCGCAGTTCTCGAGAAAGGGAAGCGCTGGCTTTCGTTTTGCAGCTTCTCAGGTATCTAAACTTGTCACTTGTACCGACGTTCAATTATCGATATCTATATCATTTCTGTGTCAAATAGTGAGACGATTTGTGAAGAATTTGAATGCAGAAAAGTCGACCTTGACCTTGCCCACCACGGGCCACCGGCCACCGGCACTCCCCGGCCATCAGGCCCTGCGGAGTTGCGCCGGAGGTGCGCTGCCTCGAAGCCTCGCCGAGAATCGCTGTCCCCGCGGTGTCAACGCGATGTCCCGCTGACAGATCTCAAGCGATGCCGTTTCAGATCTCAACGTGGAAAGAAAGATGCCAAGCATCATGTGTTGATTGAAAGATGCAAGAAGCAAGATACACATCAATCAGCTTGCACAAGTTCAGATAGATGTTCTTACCATCGGACGGACATGAAAAGAAACCAACATAATATAAAAGAATGAACGGAGGGCCAGGACCAGTACCAAGCTTGAGGAACGTGAACGTCTTGCAGAGATGACATATTCAAGAGGCAAAACTTGGGTGCCCAGTGCACGGCATTCGCCCTTGGCATGGCAATACAAGCACAGGTCATTGGTGTGATCTCCAAAATCCGGGGCCGCTTTGCGTGCATCGTAAGCCCCACTGGATGCTCGTGACCGTATGCATTGCACATGTTACTAGTAGCTTCTTGTATGCATTTTCATCCAATGCCGACAGCATCAATAGCAGCGCACCGTTTCGTGCCCAGCATCTGAAGATCGCTTTTGCCTTGAGGAAGATATCCCCTGTGCACGATGACTCGCGTTTGGTCCATGACCACTCTACCAAAACTGCTGGGTACGGTATGTCCATGTGAAACCCCTGGATTTGCTCAGCTTTTCAACATCAAGGGAAACTCATCAACTATCCAAATAAAGCCGAGCGGAGCTCCTCCTACGTTTGAGAAAAGCCCAATCCAATAGCCAAAAGCAATTGGTAGTCTAAGACGCTAAACAGAGTCTGGGATGGTTCGTGACACCAAGTCTGCATGCCTTACCAAGGTCAGGAGATCT